ACTGCTACTACACTACTACTACTACTACTACTACTACTACTACTAGTACTACTACTACTACTACTACTACTACTACTAGTACTAGTACTACTACTACTACTACTACTACTACTACTACTACTACAGTACCGTGGCTACTACCACGACTATTTCTACGACTACGACTGCGACTATCACAACTACTATCCTCTACCACCACCAGTATCTCTACCACTGCCACTACCCGTACCCCTACCCCTACTCCGGCTGTCGGCACTTCCGCTGCCACTGCCACTGCCACTACAACTACTACGACGACAACTATTACGACGACGACTACGACTACTGCGATTACCGCGACGACGACGACGACGACGACGACGACGAGTGGGTTTTATTTTGGGCTGGGGCTTAGGGCTTCATGGCTTAAGTTATAGTGCTTGGGGTCTAGAGTTTGGGTTTTCCGGTTTAGGGTTTAAGCTTTAGCAGTCAAGGTATTTTGCAACGCTAAGGTTGCAAGGAGCACGTTAAGATCGGGTGGGATCCAGGCGAGCATATACGCTTCCAAGCTCCAAACTAGTCTGTTTGAGCAGGCCGCCGACCTACTCTGACCCGCAGTCTGTTGAGTTGATCAGGCTACTACGCCCTGGACCCCGAACCCACCCTTGAAACTTGAATCCTCAAACCTTCCAGACCCTGCAGCCCGAAACCCACTACCCAGACCCCGGCGACGGTCGCTTCAAGGAGCCCGGGGCGCAAAACGGCCGTGAACCTCAAACCCTACACCCGGCAGGAAAAAGCGGATAAGATCTTGACGAAACGCAAACAAGACCCTGAAGCCGTCACTTAACGGCTGCCCCAGGTCGCTGCTCCAAAGCCTCCCTTTGCGCCGGCTCCGCAGCGACATAATCTCTGCCAATGCTGGTCTGGGAGCTTGGGTGGGGCGCCCGGGGGCTTTGAAAGGGTTTACCTGGACCGGGCTGTCGAGTTGAGGTATACGGCTAGGAGCTTAAGAAGGCGGGTCGGAGCTTCCAGATGTTTGGTTTCACGCGCAGTGCCTTCTATGGCCCTTCATGACCTGGTTTGCAAGATCCGTTTCGAATGTGATGACAAAGATTTCTCGGGTGACTCCAGGGTGAAACTGTCCAAACTGACTGAAGAACCGACATCCCAAAGCCGAATCCTACACCCTCAGCCCAAACCGTACTAAACCCTACACTGGCCCTACAACGCACCCTAAACCCCACAACCCGAAACTGTAAGCCCAAAATCATTTCCCGAAACCCCACATCTTGGAGCCTACAGCCAGAGTTGAACTCCTACCTCCTTGGCTCCTACAGCCACACACCGGAACGTCCTCAACTTGCAAGTGTTGCCGTCCGCTTGCTGTGGCTGCTGACGACGACGACGAGCAATACCACCACCACCGCCGCCGCCGCCGCCGCCGCCGCCACTCCCACCAACCCCCACCACCACCACCGCCACCACCACCACCACCGCCGCCACGACCACCACCACCACCACCACCGCCACCACCACCGCCCCCACTGCGGCCGCGGCCGCCGCCGCCGCCACCACCACCACCACCACCACCACCACCACCACCACCACGACCACGACCACGACCACGACCACGACCACGACCACGACCACGACCACGAACACGACCACGACCACGACCACGACC